AAGGAAACAGAAAGAGAAGAAGTCAGCAACCTAATGAGTCATCTCAAGCAGCTAAAAAAGGAAGAACAACCCCAAACCCAGCAGAAGAAAAGAAATAAAATTAGGGCCGAATTAAATGAAATTGAAAACAAAAGAATCATTCAGAAGATCAACAAAACAAAATATTGGTTCTTTAAAAAGATTAATAAAATTGATAAACCTTTGGCTAGCCTAACCAGAAACAGAAAAGTAAAATATCTAATAATTTCAGTCAGAAACAATAAAGGAGAAATAACAACAGATACCACAGAAATTCAAAAACTCTTCAATGATTACTCCACAAAACTTGATTCTCAGAAATATGATAATCTGGAGGAAATGTACCAATACCTGGAATCATGCCACCTTCCTAGACTCAACCAGAAAGAATTAGAAATTTTGAATAGACATATATCAATCACTGAAATAGCATCAAATATACAAAATCTCCCAAAAAAGAATAGTCTGGGACCAGAAGGCCTTACATCAGAATTCTACCAGACATTCAAGGAGGGACTAGTACCTATATTATATAACATTTTCCAAAACATAGAAAAAGAAGGAACCCTCCCCAACACATTCTATGAAGCAAATAATCCCCAAACCAGGAAAGCACCAGACAAAGAAAACTATAGACCAATATCATTAATGAATAGCAATGCAAAAATATTCAAGAAGATCCTAGCAAACGGAATTCAATGATACATCAAAAAATTATACACCACATTCAGTTGGTTTTATCCTAAGGTTACAAGGTTGGTTCAACATATATAAATCTATAGGTATAATATACCACATAAATAAAATAAAAAACAATATCTCTCAATTGATGCAGGAAAAGCTTTTGATAATATCCAACAACATTTCATGATTAGAACACTTTAAAAAATAAGCTTAGATGGGACATTTCTTAAACTGATAGAGGCCATCTACAGCAAACCCATAGCCAATATCATATTGAATGGAGTAAAATTGGCAACCTTTCCACTCAAATCTGGAAGGATGTCCATTGTCTCCACTGGTATTCAACATAGTAATGGAAATCCTAGCCATGGCAATCAGGGAAGAGAAGGGGATCAAGGGTATTCAAATGGGGTCAGAGGAGGTCAAACTCTCTCTTCATGGATGATATGATTTTATACCTGGAAAACCCCAGGGACTCAACTACAAAGCTCTTAGAAGTGATCAAGGAATATAGCAGTATCTCAGGATACAAAACCAATACTTGCAGTAGCTTTTTTTTTTTTAATTGAGACAGAGTCTGACTTTGTTGCCCTTTGTAGAGCACTGAGGCATCATAGTTCACAGCAACCTCAAACTCTTGGGCTCAAGCAATCCTCTTGCCTCAGCCTCCCAAGTATCTGGGACTACAGGCACCCACCACAATGCCCAGCTATTTCTTTTTTTTTTAGAGATGAGGTCTTGCTCTGGCTTAGGGTGGTCTCGGCAATCCACCCACCTTGGCCTCTCAGAGTACTAGAATTACAGGCATGAGCCACTGTGCCTGGCCTTAGTAGCTTTATATATGCCAAAAATAGTCAAGCTGGAAATATAGTCAAGTACTCTATTCATTTTACAGTAGTGCCAAAGAAGATGAAATACCTGGGAATTTATCTAACAAAGGAAGTAAAAGATCTCTATAATGAGGACTATGAAACCCTGAGAAAAGAAATAGCTGAAGATGTTAACAAACAGAAAAGCATACCACACTCATGGCTGGGAAGTATCAACATTGTTAAAATGTCCATACTACCCAAAGCAATGTACAGATTTAATGCAATCCCTATCAAAGCACCAATGTCATACCTTAAAGAACTTGAAGAAATAGTACTTGGTTTTAAATGAAATCAGAAAAAACCTCAAATATCCAGTACATTACTTAGAAATAAGAACAAATCAGGAGGTATCACATTACCAGACTTCAGATTATACTATAAATTTATACTGATCAAAATAGCATTGTACTGGCACAAAAATAAAGATGTAGATATATGGAACAGAATAGAGAATCTAGAGATGAACCCAAGCACATATCATCATTTGATCTTTGATAAGACTAACAAAAACATACATTGGGGAAAAGATTTTCTATTTAACAAGTGGTGCTGGGAGAATTGGCTAGCAACCTTTGGACCCTCACCTTTCACGACTAACAAAAATTCGTTCTCACTGGATAAAAGATTTACATTTAAGGCATTAAACTATAGAAATACTAGAAGAGACTTGGTGCCCATAACACAGTGGTTACGGTACTAGCCACATACACTGAGGGTAGCGGGTTCAAACCCAGCCTGGGCCAGCTAAACAAATGCAACAAAAAAATAGCTGGTGGTGTGGCGGGCACCTGTAGTCCCAGCTACTTGGGAGGCTGAGGCAAGAGAATTCCTTAAGCCCAAGAGTTTGAGGTTGCTGTGAGCTGTGAAGGTGACATAGACTCTGTCTCAAAAAAAAAAAAAGTTGACCTGCCATTTGATCCTGCAATACTAGGTATCTACCCAGATGAACAAAAATTATTTTACAACAAAGACATTTGCACTAGAATTTTTAGTGCAGCCCAATTTACAATAGCCAAGTCGTGGAAGCAGCCTAAATGCCCATCTCCCCATAAATGGATAAACAAATAATGGCATATGTATATCATGGAATACTATGCAGCCCTAAAAAGAGGGAGACTTTATATCTTTTATGTTCACCTGGATGGAGCTAGAACATATTCTTCTTGGTAAAGTATCTCAAGAATGGGGGGGAAAAGGTATCCAGTGTACTCAATACTATTATGAAACCAATATATAAATACTTATTCATATGAATGATAAAACACAAAGATAGTCTAGAAAGAAAGAGGGTAGAAGAGGAAGAAGGGAGGGGAGGGGGGAGAGGAAGTGGAGGGAGGGCATTTGGCAGGATTTCACCTAACGTACACAATGCAAGAGTACATTTCAAAACAACTCAGAATTTATTATAAATGTTTTATCACAAAAATAAGTAAGTGAGGTGATGGTTATGTTAATGAGCTTGATTTAAACCAGTGGTTCTCAACCTTCCTACTACCATGGCCCTTTAATACAGTTCCCATGGGTCGCAACCCACAGGTTGAGAACTGCTGATTTAAACCTTCCCATTGTATATAAAATCATCATATTGTACCCCATAAATGTATACAGTTATGATTTAATAAAAATTAAGTTAAAAAAACTCTTATTTTGGCCTCAGAGTGCTGTGGTTGCATCTCACTGTGGACTCTGACCTTGAGCATTTATTCCTCACCTGTGAAATTATGAAAATATTAGTAGTTACTTCATAACTTAAGTTATAAGGGTTACATGGGATATTGCACACGAGATGCTGAGAATAGTATTTGGCATATAGTAAGAGCTTAGTGAATGTTAGTGATTATTATCACCTTTTACAAAAGAAGAATGTAGGACTCAGAGAAGTCATAGAATATTAGCCAAGAGTTCATGTGGCCAGATGAAGCAAAAACCACCTCATGCCTTAACTGCAGCTCTTTCTTTTACATATAAACCCTCACATTTTCCATTCTTATTAGAATGGAAAGTCTCTTAGAAGTCAAACATTTACACTTAACTTGACTTCAGCCCCCAGACTTCAGTCAGATTGGCCTTGTTTCCAAATCTGGAGTGACTGTTTCAAGACTCAAAAACCTATAATCCTTGAATGTAATTTACTATCCCCATGACACTGAGCAAATTTACATAATGTGGCTGAAGTTCAGTTTCCTCTAAACTGGGAGGTTATGAAGATTAAATAAGATGATATCAAGAATTGCTTGAGCCCAGGAGTTGGAGGTGGTTGTGAGCTGTGATGCCACAGCACTCTACGCAGGGTGACAGCTTGAGGCTCTGTCTAAAAAAAAAAAAAAGAAAAAAAAAGACTTTCCTTTCTTTTATCATTATTATTTTTACTGAGCCCACTCGTCTACAAAAGATTGCTCATAGTGCCATAGTGATTAATAGCAGCAGCTATAGAAATCTACCACTCATCTTTCAAGATTTGGGGAGGGAGTGTTTTTGAGGCAGGATCTCTGTCACCTGGGCTGAAGTACAGTGGCATTATTATAGCTCTCTCATTGCAACCTCAAACTCTAACACTCAGGTGATCCTTCCACCTCAGCCCCCTGAGCAGTTCGGACTACAGGCATGTGCCACCATACTCCTCAGTTAACTTTTCTCGTTTTTTATAGAGACGGGGTCTTGCTACATTGCCCAGGCTAGTTTTGAACTCCTGGCCTTAAGCAGTTCTCCCACTTGACCCTCCCAAAGTCTTAGGATTATAGGTGTGAGTTACTGCACCCACATTAGAAGAGGAGTTTTATTGTAGGAGACATTAATACAGTTTTAGGGAGAGGAAGTCGCAGACAGTTAGATATTTGTGCCTTTATGCAAGGATCCACTCATTTTTTTAAGTACCACAGATATTCTTCATCTTTCCCTAGTGAGAATGCAACTATAAAATGTTTCTATCAACATTTCTTAAAAGATGGCTTTCCTGGCTCTGCACTTGTAGCTCAAGCGGCTAAGGCACCAGCCACATACACCAGAGCTGGTGAGTTCAAATCCAGCCCAGGCCTGCCAAACAACAATGACAACTACAACCGAAAAATAGCCAAGGGTTGTGGCAGGCACCTGTAGTCCCAGCTACTTGGGAGGCAGAGGCAGGAGACTCACTTGAGCCCAGGAGTTCGAGGTTGCTGTGAGCTGTGGTGCCACAGCACACTACCCAGGGCGACAGCTTGAGGCTCTGTCTCAAAAAAAAAAAAAAAAAAGTCTTTCCTTTCTTTTATTATTATTATTTTTACTGAGCCCACTCATCTACAAAAGATTGCCTCCCTTCCAAAATGCCAAAACAAACACAGAGACACTATCTTACCAAGACAGGGAAAAGGAGCATGTGTCACCATTGGACACCATTCTCTGTCGACTACTAACTAAACTTGGAATTTCTTTCCTCTGAACTTACAGCCCATGCTGGAACTGCCTTAGGAGGCATCATTTTCTTCTTCACCTACCTCCCGTACCTGTACCTCAGTTTCAGCTATACTCAGAGAAGCTTCTTCCAAAAAATTATCTCTTGTCTCTTTTCAAATGTTGCCATGGCAATGGGAGTCCGACTCATCTCCATGTTTGAAGCAGAAGGTAAGCTTTGTTGCTTTCTCTGCTGCCTTGAAGCATTACCAGAGGCAAGGCTGACCTTTGTTTCCAAATACACATAATTGGCATGTTCTACTTGGTGTTCTGAGCACTTCCAATATACTTAAAACTATGGTAAGTACTCTGTGGGATACTAAAGAAATATAGAATATGGTTCACAATGTCATATAGTTTACAATGTAATTGGGGAGAAAAACTAAAGCATATTGAAGAATTAAGAGATTATATCCCAGCTCGGCGCCTATAGCTCAACCAGCTAAGGCGCCAGCCACGTACACCTAAGGTGGCGGGTTCGAATCCCCAGCCCGGACCCGCCAAACAACAATGACGGCTACAACCAAAAAAAAAAAAAAATAGCCAGGCATTGTGGCGGGCACCTGTGGTCCCAGCTACTTGGGAGGTGGAGGCAGGAGACTCGCTTGAGCCCAGGAGTTGGAGGTTGCTGTGAGCTGTAATGCCACGGCACTCTACCCAGGGGGACAGCTTGAGGCTCTGTCTCAAAAAAAAAAAAAAAAAGAGATTATATCCCTATATAATTAGAGATAATACATATAGGTTTATGATTAGAAGTTGAGATAATATTTTAGCACTTTATAGATAATGTAGAACTTTTTACATATATTTTATTCTTATAGCCTTTGAGGAGCTCTTCTTTTACAGGCTGATCTAGGGGGACCTTCTATTAGAGGTATTCTAGCTCACTTATAACTTCCACAGTTGGAGTGCAATCCTAAATTTTTGTTTGCCTTAAGTTTCTGGAGTTCAAAGAATTCCTCTTAATACCTACAGTTCATTGCAGAAAATTAGAGCCCAAATGTCAATCAAAATATACAGCCAACTGAGTTTGATGAGGTTTTGATACTTATTGTTTCCAGTTTCAGTGGCACACTAAGATGGTACACTGTGAATGTTCTGGCAAGTACCTTCATTACTCAGCATTAGCTGTTATCACCAGAGCCCTGGTTCCAAATGTTACCTCTTGGTTTTGCAGTAGTTGACTACAGTAGGAGTTGTAAGTTGGATCTAGTTTGTGGATCCCCTTGCTATCATTGGAATAACCCTAATGATTTTGTCAGAGGTACCACACATTGTTAGGCACTACCTAACAATGAATTGTTTAAGTTGGATGGTCCAAATAGGCCCTTGGCTTAAAGCTGCATTAAATATAGTAAAAGATGTTAAGTTGACCAGAATTTATTAAAAGTAAGTGGTTTTCTTTAACAAAGCAATGATGAAATCACAATTATAAATACACATGGGAAAATACAGATTTAAAACAGTATGTCTGATTCCTTATATCTGAGTTCCCCAACCCCTAGGCCGCAGACCAGTATTGGTCTGTGGCCTGTTAGGAACCCAACCTCACAGCATCACCACCTAAGTTCCTCCTCCTCCCCTACCATCCCATCTGCTTCCTCTACCCACTTCTACATTCATGAAAAAAAAATTATCTTCCCAAGAACCAGTCTCTGGTGCCAAAAAAGTTGGGGCTCATTGCATGTGTTAGTGAATGAATATGGGTTCTTTGTGGGGCCCATCTGTTGCAAGTTGAGAGAATTGGGTGAGAGGTTTCACTGAATGAACTCTAAAATTTGTCACACACTAAGGTTCTCTTGGTTTGAAAGCACAGGATCAATGTTCCTTCATGAAGGGCACAGGATGGCTCACAAATGCTATGTCTACAGTTATGGCTAAAGGAACACAGATGAATATTCTCACAAGCAGGGAGTAATTCCTAAGGATATGAATAATAATATGTTGGAAACTCAAGGGGAATTTTTCTTATTTAAAAATCCTCAAAAGTTCACTGGATTAGATTTTTCTATTCATCTGATCTATCTGCTTGAATTAATTACAGGCTTTATATGTAGTGAGTGAACTAATGAAATTCTTCTAGATAGTTTCTCAGTAAGTCTAGTGTAGAACTTTCAGTTGTACTCTTGAACAATCACTATACACAAAGTATTTCAGGACTCTGGATTGAGGGTTAATGGGCCTACTCTGTTTGTATGGAAGGAACAGTTCAGCCTGTTCCTAAAATTGGCACCTGCATGTTTGTGGAGCAGCTGGCCTTGTCACTTGAGGCTATCATTTATTGATTAATTGATTGATTTATTATTTGCTAGATTGTCTTTAGTTTTGGAGAGAATAAGTAGCATCTTCCTTTTTTCCTTGATTTCTGAACCAATTGATAATTGACAAATAAAACAAAGGCATCATCATATTAATACCAAAGTATTCCTTTCATAACTCATAAAGACTGCAATGGGTGATGTAGCTTAGCATGAAAGCTAGATGGACATATTAATTCCCTGCTTCCCGGTTTCTACCATGGGCTAATCTATCTGAGACAAAGTTTGAGCCAGCAGAATAGTATGAGCTACATACCCATTTATCAGCCTTTCATTGTTTTGGAATGGAAAGAGAAGAAGAAAGAAATTAAATTTCGCCCCTCCCATGGTCTAGGACTTTGGAAAAATTAACTAGACCCAACTGACAAACATGTTTCTTGTTGCTAACCAACCAGGTATTATACTTTTGTGGAAAGAGTAACCCTAAGGTAAGAGGCCAGTAGGTTTAGAGAAACATCCTTCTTCATGGAAGGCAGAGAGGTGGGGAGAAGGCACTATTTGGGAGTGGGGAGGAAGAGGCACTATTATCTAAGTGGCAGTAACCTGGAAGAACAGAGGAGTCTAATCTATTTTAGTTTACCACTCCATAGCCCCAGTATCTAGACTAAGATCTGGTAAAATGTAGACACTCAATATGTATTTGTTAAGTGAATGAATGAATGAATGAATGAGGACTGTTTGGCTTTCTGGCAGGAGGTGAAGACTGTACTAAGAAGAAGTTGTGAATGCTTTCTCAGAAGTTATCACAACGAAAGCTATCTTCTGTCCATATTGTTCAGATCATCTTTCCTACTGAAAATAATGAAAAGCACCTAGCATTCTGGGAGGCTGAGGCGAGTGGATTGCCAGAGCTCAGGAGTTTGTGACCACCCTGAGCAAAGTGAGATCCTGTCAATGAATAGAAAAATCACTCTGGGCTCGGCACCCATAGCACAGTGGTTATGGCACTGGCCACATACACCGAGGCTGGTGGGTTTGAACCTGGCCCAGGCCAGCTAAACAACGATGACAACTGCAACAAAAAAATAGCCCAGCTTGTGGCAGGCGCCTGTAGCCCCAGCTACTTGGGAGGCTGAGGCAAGAGAATCGCTTAAGCCCAAGAGTTAGAGG